GGAGGAAACCCCCCCCCCCCCCGGGTTTGTGGGGGGAGGGTGGAAATATCCCCCCTTCCCGGGGTTTGGGGAGGGAGGGGGCTGAGGAGCCTAGACAAGGCGGGCGGGAGGGGAGCTCACATCTTGTCCAGCCCCTGCTCCAGGCAGGATCGTGCCGAGCGGCATCATCCCAGCCCGGGTTTGTCTGCTGGGGTCTCGGATGCCCCAAGGGTGGAGACTCGGGCACCTCTCTGGGGAGCCCATTCCAGTGCTTTACTACTCTCCTCGTGAGGGCGTTTTTCCTAACGTCCTCAACTTACCTTGCTGCACCTTGAGCCCATTGCTTCATGTCCTGTCGTCTGCCAGAGACATCCACAGATGTAGCATGTACAGTAGGTCATAGTGGGGGTCCTTCCTCCACGTGCTCTTTTCCGCTTCGAGGGCAAGAGGCTTTACCTTGACGCGCTGCCCCTCGGTTGAGGCAGTGGCGCCATCGGTAGCGAGCTCCTCCCAACTCTAGATGTCAACATCCGTTGTCATAGGTTGGCCTTGGTCATGTTTCCTTTGGTCGCTGCAAGGTCTTGGGCCCCAACTAGCTTGGTTTTTGGCTTTTATAGCAGGAGACTGGGCTTTCAAACCATGGTTTTGCTTCTCTGTTGTTTCTCGCCCCAAACCAAAGAATAACAGGAGACAGAGCCTATCCCCCTATGTCTTTTAGGGAGAATTGGTGGCTGTGGACAGTTGTGACGTCTGTCAAAACAGTAAAAATAACTTTTGCTGGGGGGAGTTTCTGTCTGTGTTTACAGAACACAAGAGCCTGTTTTCTGGCCAGCCTTGTTCCTCAGGGTAAGCCTTGCTCCAAAAGAAGACAACTTAGACTATCTTGACTTTTTTTTTAAGCTCAAATTCATGTTTAACCCTGTGCCTGGAGAGACCGTGATGACTTTTTATTAAAAGAGTGTGTGTGTGTGTGTGTGTAACTTTTGGTGGTGTTTTTAAAGATAAGTGACAAGGAAAAAAAGAGCTGTTGCTGAAAACACATTTGATTCTTTTGAATCGGCGTTAATGACTGTTCCCTTCCGGATGTCTCACTTCTCAGTAGCGTTTTAGGACAAACCAATTTAAGAATATGAGATCACTGTGCTTATTCAGGCAAAGCTAGTAAAATGTTACAGGACTTGCCTTTTGGCATGGATAGGTGCTGGGGGTAGAGACTGCAGGATCAAACATCATTGCTGGATCATTCGGTGATTGTAAGATGCCTGTCTCTTGTGACCCTGCATCCATCTGAATGATGTTGAGGTAGGTAGAGTTTGAATGATGTTGTAGCTGTGGTGGTCCAGGAATTATGTGAGATTTTTTTGTGGGGGGGATATCTTCTATTGGACTCACTGCAGGGTTGGAATAAAGCTAGGCAGGCTTTCAAATGCTAGCTCTTCATCATGCAAAACTCTTGACCATGAAGTAGGTAAGAGATGTGGTTAAATGTATAGCTACTGCCCACTACCTGAACCACCAGCTGTTGTTACATTAAAGCACACCAAAAGCCCTCTATTTCTTGAGGAAAAAACTGTGTTTGTCTTTAGATCACCAAAAAAAAAAAAATCTGAAAGGAGAAAAAATGTCCCTTTCTGTAACTTTAATGATATGCCCCATTTAACTGCTTCTGAGAGTATTTGCTCTCAGGCAGGATTTTTTTTAGGTTCAGCTTTAGTTTGCAATGGGAGTTATCAGTGTCTGGGGGGGAAATAACTGTTGTCTTGGAAATGCTGTTGGGCCCTTCACAACAGTCACATTGTTCGTGCTTTCACATTGGAGTCAAGTGACAGCACTGCAGACTCTAGGCTTACTTTTATTTTTCTTTACATATGCTCAGCTTTCACTGTTCAACTTTGCAGAAGCTCGGGCAAGGGGATATTCAGATACACTGCAATACATCATGCTTCTTGTGGGTAATACGTTTAATAGAAAAATCTTTAGGGTGGGAACTGCAAAGTAAAAAGGTGGGATTGCTCTTTTCAATGGGCTTTTTCATCTTTTGGGGATGGGGGCATTATGCAAAAGATCTTCCCTAATTGTATGCAGAATATTGTGCAGCGTATACAGCATTTAAGTACTTCTTACTACAAAACCATAAGCTCACTCCAAGTGAAGGCCCATAAGATAGAGGTGATATTGAGTAAAGTTAGGGGGGGCACTAGAACATAAAAAGAGTATTTGCCCTTCTTTTGAGAGTGTGTGCTTTATATCTATTGTCAAAGTTCATAGTCAGAGGATATTATTGGATTCTCAGCTACAGTTAATTGATTATCTAGCAGTAGTTTATAGGAAAGCCTTTTTTATTTGTTTGTCATATACCCTGTATTCTGAATACAGACCTTGCTGCTATTATACTTGCCTTTGTCACTTGAATGCTGTTGCAAGACATTCTGCTCAATGCTGCACTAAATCTAGCTAGGGACTGATGCTTTAGGATGTAATGGCTTGTTTTAGTAATATGGGTGTTGATCTTGTTCTCTAAGCCCTGAATGGTTTGGTGCCTGCCTACTAGAGATACTGCTTCTCTCCACTTCCCACATTGACAGTGCTGCAAGGTACTTTGTTTCTTCAGTATAAAAGACAGGGAGCTTTTGTCAAGGCATCCAACAGTCATGGCACTCAACCAGTATTTGATAGGACAGGAAACATCATTTGGAGCCTGATTTTTATTTCTAATCCTTTTTTTTCTGGCATGGGATCAGGAATGGCTGCTGGCTCATTTGTGTGTGACTGCATCTTTTATTTATTGTAAAGGCTCTTAGACAAGGGTTAGACACTTAGAACAGAATAAATACCATTAAATATGAGATAAATCAATGGAGACAAAGGAATTAAGGGTTTACACTACTTGTAGCAGGGCTTACTTCAGAAATAAGTTGACACTGTCCCATCTTCGATGCATATTCAGGTCTGAAAGTACGGTCGTGTGTTCAAATTTTGATAGAGATCAATTATAATTTTTTTATGTAACTAGCTTAGTAATTTCCTAACAAGCTAAAAAAAAAAAAGATGAAAAAGAAGCAATTAAAGAAATATACTATTAAAAATGTTCCAATGGTTTAAGTAGTCTTTGCAGTACTTGTTAGGCAAAATTATTTAATTGATTCAGAATGCTGTGAATTGCATAAAGAATATCAATTCCCACAAGGACCTCCACAGTAGGGATTATTGACATGAACTTGATTGGTTTAATGAACTACTAGGTTTGTGTTTGGTTTAATTGAAGGGGGAGTTGTTTAATGAGAGGAATACCCTGGAAAATATAAGAATTTGATCAAAAAGGTTTTGGAGGGACTTGTAGAGTGCAAAGATGGATATTCACAGTGGCTGGGGAAAATTAATATTAGATTTAAAAAAACCCCCCAACATTATTTGAAACAAGGCCTTTATTATGGCTAGGATCTATTTAACTTAGGGAGAGCTTTGCCAATGATGGGCACAAGATTAGGCTCTCTTGATGCTTTCACCTGGTATTCAATGTTAGCTGCTCTTACACTGCATTTTTGCTGCATAAAAGCAACCAGTAAATGTGGCTTTTACTTAGGACCCTGCAGGTATGTTAAGGCACCCGTGTAGCACTATTTGTTGAATAAGGAGGGATCTGGTGTTGACTTGCAGTCCATTCTCAGAGTTAAGTTCTACAAAAACACTCAGTGGAGGTAGGAAGCCTGTGCAGGCAGCAGAGGATATAATAAAAATGACAACAACAAAAAACCCACCAGCCCTCCATTTGCCCTCCAGGGATTTTAGATCTATGATGATGTTAGATAACTTGGTACTACAGGCAGCGTTCTGTGGCCTGAAGTGAACTCTATTTATTCCTGTGCCTTGTTTTATATTGTCATTTGCTTAGGATGAAAAGTTACGTTTTTGAGGTTTTTATCAAATTTTCCTGCTTTTAACATACTCATTTGCAAGACAGCCTCTGTAGGCAAGAGACCCCCAATCTGATTTATACAGTTATCTGCCAGCATCAAGTCTCTGTTTTTTTTGTAAAAGTTCTTGGAAGTGATAAATGTAGCTTGTGCACTGGCTGTACAAATTTAACATTGCCCTTTAGGTAAAAGTATGCTCCATCTGTGCTGCCCTTCCTCTTTTTGTTTGTTTTTTATTTAATGTCAATCATTACTGGATGCATACTATATGATATTGTTTAGTTCAAAAGTTTTCATCTTAAGGATATAGGAGTCTTAACTACCTAAGGTAGTCAGAGCTCTGTATCCTCTGAACACTTCCCGATCTTTCATTTACCATAACAGGTATGGCCCTGTGATCCTGAGACACAGAAAGATGGAGGCCAGATCCTCAAAGGTTCAGGTGCCTAACACCCATTTCAATACAAATCAATGGATAGTAGGTGCTTAAGTCTATGTAACTTGCTGCGGTTAGACACAAAGTATGTCACAGAATGGGGGAACTGAGTCTGGGTCCCCCAAGCCATTGGACCATCTTCCTCTTCGCTCACCAGGCCAGATTCAAACCTGGTTTTAAAAGAGTACAAGCCCATTTACTTCCTTAGAGCTGCCTGATATGGGGATATGTTTGTGTTTTGTATAAGATTTCAGAACTCATGGTACAGGTGATATCTTGTATTAGACCAACTAGATATTTGCAACAAAAAAAAATCTTTATTTACAAGCTTTTGCGTGTGCATACCCTTCTTCAGCCATAGGAGAATTCAAAGATTGTAAATAGACTGCTCTGACTTCTATCTGAGCCTAATTTGCACAAAAAGAACTTTTCCAACTAGGAGATCTTGTAGTATCTTCAGCTCCCCTGTGAAATATGAGTTTTCATTCCCACCTAGGAGAAATTTTTACAGTTTTTGCATTTTATGCCTGAAGAAGGGTGTGCGCGCCCAAAAGCTTACAAATAAAGACTTTTTTTGTGAATATCTAGTTGGTCTAATAGAAGATATCACCTGTACCACGAATTCTGATTCCTTTTGCCTGTAGACCAATATGGCTACAACCTGTATCTTTGTATAAAAGTTAATACTCTTAAGTTGCCTGACAAAATTAGTCTGTAGCAGCGGATGGAACTGGAAAAATCCTGCCGTCTTTGGGACAGGGCCGTCTTCATTACATACATATGCAGTGCCTAACACTACTGCAGCACAAATAATAACTGTTTATCAGAGATATATATGCATGCAAAGAAAAAACTGTTGATGAATCTGCTTACTCTCTAGGCATCTTTCATATGCAGCTGGTACAGAGAGCTTGGGGTGGGAGGAACTAATAGGCTGGAGAGATTGTTCACTTATTTCAAACCTGATGTCAGGAAGAGTCTGGATATGCTTAGGGCTCATCTCAGTCTGCCAACAAATGACAAAATTATAATGGCCTTATATTCACAAGGACTAGTTCTCATTTTAAGATGTTTGGCAGCAGTAATCTCTTCTGGCTAAAGAAGTATCTCGTCTTATGAAATTCTGTTCAGATCTGGCCGGGAGACAATGTGTTAGAGGATGTGGTCATTTCCTTTCTTGCGCTTGCTTTCTTAGGGAAGTTTTGACAGCCAGCCAAAATCTCTGAACATTTGGAGAGTTCACACTGCCTCTGAAACAGCAGCTGTTCTGCCGGACTGAAATACGAAGAACTTAGTCACCCCTAATTGTACGGGGGTGGGGGAGAGGGCGTTGAGAAAAAGTACTTTTGTTTCTACATGTTGAGATACAATCCTCAATTAGGTGATCATGAGCTATTTTTTTTCCACCAGTCATGCCTCATTCAGTATACAGGTTGAATGATCAAGATGAGAAAATTAACTTTTTTTCAGGCAGCTACAAATCTGTCCTACTATGACCTTCAAGTGCTAGAATTTTTTTCAACTAAAATGTTTGTTAAATTAACTTTTTTGTTTTGTCTGTGTAACTCAAGTGTACATTTTGGAATCATTCTTAAGTAAATTCTCCAAATTTACTTACGGTCAACTTTGATTCCTTCTTTGACAGGGTTACTAGTTCAATGGATGAAGAGAAAAGAGTGAATAATAATATAAGGTTTCCCTCGCTTTATGCTGTACATGCATTCCTGGAAAACAGCACATAACTCAAATTTGCATAAAGGAAACCCACTTTACAGTGTCACAAATAGGGGTATGTTCCAAGACCTCGACTGTACTGACCCCCAGACCCATTTCTAGCACTTCTGCAAGATGGTTTTGGTACTCAGCAACAGCAGAGAGTACACACAAGCACAGGGCACTATCATAATGGGGATGGCAACTACAGAAACATGTGTCGCAGACAACGAGCACAGCTCCACACAGGAGACTATATTTTGGTGCATATCACTCCCACAATGCACTGCACAAAGCAGCTGACTGCAGGCTTCCATCACACTGATCACATAAGAGTGAATTTACTTTGCATATCATGAACTTTTGGTGTAAAAAGGGTCATCTCATTAGAGCAAATTTGCACATACAGAACCCGCGTAAAGTGAGGAATACCTGTACTTGTCATTTAGTAAGGACTTCTCATAGTTTCCAATATGATATTTTCCCAAGTAAATTGGAGAGATGTGGACTAGATAGAATTACTGTTCAGTAACTACAAAGTTGGCTGAATAACCACAAGCAGAGAGTAAGTGCATGTGGATTGATGTCAAAATGGCAGGAGGTTTCTAGTGGGGTTCCACAAGGGTTTGTCCTGGATCCAGTGTTGTTTAATGTTTTTTATTAATGACTTGGATGCAGGAGACACGTGGCTGTGGAAATGTCTTCAGTGAATCTTAAGTATAGATAAAGCACTTGTATATAGAAAGGTTCTCATGTCTCTTCACTAGTACTGTGTTGTAGCACAAAAAGGTTGAAGAGAGGTAGTTAGCTGTGCTAGTTTGAAGTTAGGCAGACAGCAGCACATATTAGCACCTTTTAGACTAACTGGTTTGTCTAAGGTACTGCTACCATGCCCTGCCTTCCTAAAAGAGCTTAGTTCTTCACCCATGAACAAGATGCAGAACACGGACAGAACGTATCTTTATTTATCTCAGTCTTGTCACTAAGGCATAACTTTCGTTCTCCAGTTTGACTTTGTGTCTTGAGGTTTTCCTCGTCATTGAGGCCTTCTCTTAGGACATACGTTAAACAAAGTTTCTGGCCCATGCCATATCTGGTGCCCACAGGTGAACTTTTAGTATCGGGGCCCCCCTTCACCTGAGATAATGATTATAATAATTGGACTTGTTGCAAAAGTCTTTATCACATCTGTGGTATCGATGGGTTTAAATAGTTTGTTCTCGATTGATACCATTCATTGCCAGTATATGCACAATATTAACTCTCTTTTTTTTTGCAATTGTAATTTTTTTTCATTTTTGGGCCCCGTCTCTGTCCAGGCCCTGGGCGGCTGCCCAGTTTGCCCATGCCTGTGTCCGGGTCTGTTTCTGGCAGTTGATGTATATTTCCCCGCTCTATTCGTGCATGTCCTGCCAATGCCAGTGGGGAATACTTTCTTCTGGACTGAAGTGACAATTCAAAAATCTTTGGTCAGGGGTATATCTGGCCCACAGATTATATTGAAACATCTTGCTGGCCTAATGAAATTGCTCTCTTTCTGACAGAGGAGAGAGCTCAGCATGCTTGCCCCTCTGGGACAGCAGAGTGGTGTCATGCTGGGTAATCATAATTATGAGAATAGATTCAATGGAGAGAGGAAGTGGATGCCCTTCTTCCTGCCTAGTATTTACCATTTTAATCCGTTTAAAAAACAAAACAGTAGTGGGGAGGAAGCATATCTTGTTTTGCTGTGCAAGCATCATGCTATATAATGGAAAAGCTTTCCACCTAAGGCAAGTCCCCTAAAGAGCCCAGGAGCACTTTGCAACGTGTCTTTTGCTGCTATACTTCCACTTGTGTACTTGAAAGGATTTTCCTTCTCTAGAGGATCCCCCTCAAGAACAAACCTGTTAACTCTTCAAGAATACAACAGGCCTTTTGGAAGTAAGGCAGGGAGCGAACGAGGCCGCATACATTTGTGTGACATTGATTTAATAACAGAAACTTTCTCTCCCATAACAAGTAATAAGCAGCTCCCATCTTTCACGGCCGTTTTTAAATTGCTTTTACTGAAGGACCTGGATTTGGTTTAATCCTTCTCAGTATGTAAAGCCCCAGATATTTCAATCCCCAGGGGACCCAATGGCTTTCTAAACTCCATTTTGAAAGGGAAATGAAAGCAGCCTTCAGAGACTAGCAGAATCTGAGTGCCTTATTTTTAATTTATTTTGTATCCTGAAAGTGACCCAAAAGTGTCAGTTAAGAATAAGATCTCTGGCATCCGACTCAGGAGATTAGTAACAAACAAGCCTATCGTGTAGGTACAGTAGCTCTTTGTACTCTTTGACCTACTTTGTTTCTGTTCTAGCTGGTTCTTTCCTGAAACATTGATTAGAATAGATACAACATTGGCTTAGTGATCAACCAAAGCAGTATCCTCTGGTGCATTACATTTTTTTTCTAGCACAAAATTGTTGGCAGCAACAAGGTCTTTCTGCTTTAAGGCATGGTGAGTTTAAACCTTATTCACATACA